AAAAGAAGGAGCTGGTTTCCTGAACTAGAGAGACTCAATCTATTTTTATATGCCTCTGGTGGTTAAGGTGCTATGGGGAAATAATATAGGAAACATTTCATGCAGTATTCATTTAAACACAAAATGCCAAGCAGGTTGGAGCTTTCAGCAAATTTTGGATAGAAAATAATTGCTGCTTGCTTTATAATAAATGTTATTTATTTAATTATTTTGGATTTCTTCCACCACAAAGCTCATTAATAAAAACACCAACGTTATAATATAGTCACCATTTTTTTGTAATTTAGTTATTTTATACCAAATATCTTTGAAAATATATATATATATTTTTATTTACTCTAGTATGCCACCTCTTTTTTTTTTTCTACAACTAGAGTGAAATAAATTAAGAGTGCCCTTATGTGAGCCAGACTATTCTGGTAACTTTCTTGTATCAGTGGCTGTCTTCTGGCCTTAGTTCCTTTCTGGTGAATGCAGACTGGCTTTTAAAAAAAATAAAAATAAATGCACATCGCTTTGCAAGTAAAGAAATGTGCATTTATTATTTTTGTTACTTGGAGCCTAGAAAAAAAATTGCACCCACAAGCAGCAGATAGCAGGTGCCATGCAGGGCTTCTGCAGACTTGTCAGTGTATCTGTGTGCATGTACCTTGTACGTGGAAGAGACAATGAACTACCACAGCGCTCAACTGCGTCATGGTAGTTTATTGAGAACTACAAGCAGACGGTCACAAAGGCTGTGGGTACTTGTAGTTTTCCATTTCCAGATTTTTTTTTTTTTAAATAGTGACAACCACCTGTCCATTTACACAGAGATCTGCAGCTCAGCCCCACCATGCCCCCTCCTTCTACTGATTATAAAGGAGAAATTCTGGGGCACAGAGGTGAGGTTATTCCAAAATAATACAGTATGGATTATGAACAAAATGTCAGATGCCTGAAAGGCAAATTACGTATGTATATGTACCTTTTAAACGTATAACTCCGTGCTGGAAACAGGCATGGGTTCAATAAATTAATTGTATATGAAAAGACAAAAAGATGGCGTACAGGCCTAGTGCATTACCTTTAAAAATGAGAAATAAAATCAAATGGAAAGCATGTCACAAGAGATGCAGTGTGGTCCAAGACCCCTGAAGGTGGACTTGATTTTATTTCTCTTGTGAGTATTTTACTTTTTATCAATAAATCTCATTTTTAAAGGTAATGCACTAGGCCCGTGCGCCCTCTTTTTGTCTCTTCATATACAGTTCTCTTTGAATTTCCCTGGTCCGTTGAGGGCAGCAAGGCTTGCATTCCTTTCATACACATGTGGGGATATTGACATTGTGGAGTCCATTGTCCAGGGCAGGAGCTCAGGCATTCCGTTGCTTTTTTTCTTGTTACCAGACTTGTTCAATAAATTAACACTGGTAAAAAAATAAATCGAATAATGTCCATAGACATAATCAAGTCTTTAAAAAGTTTCTGGGACACTGAGGGGTTTATTTACTAAAGCTGGTTCACTCAGAATCTTGTGCACTTCTGCATGAGAACCAATCAGCTTCCAGGTTTTATTGCTAAAGCTTAATTGAACAAGCTGAGGTTAGAAGTTGATTGGCTGCCATGCACAGCTGCACCAGATTCTGAGTGAACCAGCTTTAGTAAATCTCCCCTTGAGTGTCAGATAGTGGCAGCCATTCTATAGAGCAAAGCCAACACTACATGCAAAGACAAAAAAGAGAAGAACAGGAGCCGCCAGTCTAAGTGCAGTAATTAGGTGCTGTATTTAATAATATAGGATTAAAAACACTCACAAGAGGCAAAAGAATAACCATCTCATCTGTGTAGGGGGATGTGGTCACTCCTCTCCATCCTGCAGGTACCGCGGTCATACACCTAGGGTGCCATGGATGTAAGCCTGGACAGTGTGGAGCCATGTATGCTGGTTGGGAGACCACCCAGATGTTATGTGGTGCAGCAGAGCAGGTCCAACGCTGTCTGGACCAGAAAGAATCCACACTGGCCAGCGTGGAACTCATTGGTGAAAGTGACGCCACCGGAAGAGGCGGAGGGCCGGATATAGAACACAGAAGATACCAGGAACACAGACAAAGGACACAGGCTACGCGCTCAGAGCCTCTAGCTTCTTCTACAGGCCTGATTGTACATACAATGAGTGAAACCTTATATAGAGACATGCCGTCGTCATGGAACAACAATACTCAGCAAAAATGAAAGGGGCAGTGAAGTAGTGGTGCTGAACAAAAACTCATCTGTAAAGAACGGGGAAATATATAAAAAGGAATATATAAAAAGGAGATGTATATAATAAATTAATCATGTATATAAAAATGAATTATTGGAATGAGATCCAAAATTAACATTAACAATAATAATGGTCAGACCACATTAGCGTTTATATGAAAAATGTACAAGATAGATAGAGTTACAACATTCAATGAATTATAGTAAGAACTGCCTAATTATAGAGGGAATAGGGATAATACAAAGAAATTCCTAGACACTGTGCATGTATACAGAAAAACTTCCAGACACTATGAATGTATAAGCACGTTAGTTGCATATCTACACGTGTTGTGTGTGGTGCATTATCTAAGAATCTGATTGGCTAACTGGCTGAGTTTGATCCCGCTGCTGCCTCAGCCAATCAGGAGTGAGAGTCCCCAGAGAACTGGATTGGGATAGGGCTCTGGTAAGTATTAAGGGAGTCTGGGGGGGGGGGGGTTTGGAGCACCTACACACAGAAGGTTTTTTACCTTCATGCATAGAATGCAAGAAGGTGAAAAACCTTGAGCCTTTAGAACCACTTTAAACTGTAGGTATAGTTAGACTCTCTGTCAGGTTTTTATTGCTGTTTGTGTTTGTGTGTGATGGGGAGATTCACTCTCTCTATCTGTTCTGGTGACCATTGTCTCAGAGGCATTAAGTAATGGGAAACCCTTCATTTTACAGTCTTCACCAAGAGGTGACAGTAAATCTTCCCATGGTAACATGTGTTGCAGTGACAACTGTCTGGCTGGATAATTCCCCTTATTTTGTAGTTTTCCTTTCATGTCTTGTGGCCTTTGTGGGACAGAAAGTGAAGAGAAATGACCCCAACAGGACACACATCCCAACTGACAGAAATTCTAACTAATTTAAAGTTTGGGCTATACATACACTTTATAGGTTTCTTTTGGGTTTTTTTTCACAAACAGCAAAAGCACATTGACATACCATAATTTATATTCAGATAAAATGTGTTGGGTTTTTTTTTTTGGTCAAAAAGATTTTTCTCAATAATCAAGTAGTTTATTTTCCCATCAATACTATTACAATGTACTGCAAAGTTTACTTTTGGCACAGCAATATTTTCTAGTACACAGCAGTTTTAAAGATTTAGTTTGTAACACGCTTTATTTCAATAAAAGCACAAAAAGTATTTATTTTCTATCTCTGGTTAAGCACAAAAAGTATTTATTTTCTATCTCTGGTTGCATGCATGAACTTAAAAAGTTTAAAAGAGAAGTGGATGCCGCATCGATCTGATGCTGCATCTGTCCCCCCAGCTATAAGGGTGAGAACTGAGCGATCAGACACCGCTAATCGCTCATTTCTCCCTGCCACTCTGAGCAGAGAACAGTGACTGTCAGTCTCTGCCCCCCCTCCCCCCAGTGCTCACTGGAGCACTGGGCTGTGCAGAGGGAGGCAGCGGCTGGCTCAGGCTCTAGGTGGATCGCTGAGAGGCTGATTCAGGTACTTGCTTGGCTGGTCGAGGCTCCTGGGTGGTCACGATTTTTCTCCAGCCTGGACTGGCTCTGGCTTTAGCAGGCTTTAGGCTGCAAACGGGTCACAGGGGTGCAGAACAAACTGCATTCCTGTGATGCACAGGAGAAGTACAGCAAAACAAGCTTCTCCTTTAACCACTTACCCTCTAGAGGATTTACCCCCCTTTCCTGACCAAGCCATTTTTTACGATACAGTGCTGCGTTACTTTAACTGGCAATTGCACGGTCATGCAGAGCTACACCCAAATTATATTTAGGTCCTTTTTTCCCACAAATGGATATAATGGATTTTATTTTTTATATACTACTAGTGGCAGCGATCAGTGACTCATAACAGGACTGTGACGGGCATTCTGACACTGGGGGGGAATGTCAGTGCCACTGACATTCCCAGTGACACTAATACAGTGATCAGTGCTAATAAAAAGGGGTTAACATCTGGGGCAATCAATGGGTTAACTGTGTGCTGTTTTACTATGTGTGCTGAGTGTGTGTTTTACTATCTAAACATGCTGCTTTGTATTGACAGCTGTATCCGCCAATGGTGATGTGGGTAGGGTGGCACACGTATATTGTGCTTTGTGTTGAACCTCCTCAGTTCCAGATCCTTTTCCTCCTTTCCTTCCTTGTAGTCTTAAAACTTGTTATTGTGAAGATGTATTTGTTCTGTATAGCTTTATACAGCTGAAGTCCTTCCCAACATATTATACATCTTGTTATTTGGGAGAGATAAGGCTTTAAAGTGCAACTTGACATCAGAAATAAAAGTTTGCAAATGTGCATACTGAATGCCTCTTCATACCAAATTCTTTGCTAACTGTTCACAATCTACACACAACTCAGCATATACCGTATTTTTCGCTCCATAAGACGCACCTGACCATAAGACGCACTTAGGTTTTAGAGGAGGAAAACAAGAAAAAAAATATTCTGAACCAATGAACTGCAGACATAGTACAGGAAATGACCAGGGACTGCGGACACAGTACAGGAGATGACCAGAGACTGCAGACATAGTACAGGAGATGACCAGAGACTGCGGACACAGTACAGGAGATGACCAGTGATTGCAGACATAGTACAGGAGATGACCAGAGACTGCGGACACAGCACAGGAGATGACCAGAGACTGCGGACACAGTGCAGGGACCAGAAGACCAGTACAGGAGACTGCGGACATATTTCAGGAGATGATCAGAGACTGTGGACTTACTACAGGAGATGACCAGAGACTGCGGACACAGTACAGGAGATGACCAGAGACTGCGGATGTACTACAGGAGATGACCAGAGACTGCGGACATAGTACAGGAGATGACCAGAGACTGCGGGCACAGTACAGGAGATGACCAGAGACTGTGGATGTACTACAGGAGATGACCAGACACTGCGGACATACTACAGGAGATGACCAGAGACTGCGGACATAGTACAGGAGATGACCAGAGACTGCGGACATGCTACAGGAGATGACCAGAGACTGCGGACACAGTACAAGAGATGACCAGAGAGTGTCGATGTACTACAGGAGATGACCAGAGACTGCAGACATAGTACAGGAGATGACCAGAGACTGCGGACATAATACAGGGGATGACCAAACACTGTGGACCTTTTGGGAGCAGAGGAAGGGGTGAGCGGGTACCTGAGATTGACAGGTACCCGCTCCCACTTCCGCGGAGTTGCCCTCCCTCCCCATCTTCTGGGACACGTAACAGGTCCCAGAAGCTTGCCGCACCCTTCACAAAGCACGCACTTCTCGCGCGCATGTGCAGTGGGCACCCGGCTGTGAAGCCGCAAGCTGTCACAGCCGGGTGCTCACACTAAAGATGTCGGCCACGGGAGAGAAGACAGTGAGAACAGCGCTGGACAGAGGAACAGATAGGACCGAGGAGCACAGAAGAGCCGAGCGGCCGGCCCGGTATTCTAACATGGCGGCAGCAGGAATTCCGGGCTGGCTGCTCCATATTCACTCCATAAGACGCACAGACATTTCCCCCCATTTTTTGGGGGGAAAAAGTGCGTCTTATGGAGCGAAAAATATAGTAATTTGGGAATCTGTCAAGATTCTGGCACCCCATCAATTGTGTAAGGCCAGTCCTGGTAACTTATCTCTCGATAGCACTGTACTTGAGATTCAGACTAAATTGAAAAATCTAGGGGTGATATCTGATGCTAGCTTAACTTTTGATCTACAAATTTTGTCAGAACATCGTTTTTCCACTTGAGAAACATTGTACGACTGCGTCCTTTGCTATCATGCACTGTAGCTGAAAAGTTAATCCGTACATTTGTGTTCTTCTGACTTGACTACTGCAATGCTCTGCTCGCTGGTGTACCTTAATCCACTATTAATCGACTACATTATGTACACAATTCTGAAGCCAGAGTCCTGACTAGGTTTGGTACAAGTGACCATATTACCCCTATCCTAGAGTCCTTGTACTGTCTACCCATCAGGTTTCGCATAGTCTTAAAGATCCTCTTGCTCACCTATAAGGCTCTTCATGGCTTGGCACCCCATTATTGGTCTGAAATTTTATCTATTTACTCCCCCCCTTGTAATCTCCGCTCCTCAAATTCTGGTCTTCTGTGTGTCTCTCCCCTACACTTGATCAGAGACAGAGCCATCTCCTGATATGCTACAAAACTCTGGAATTCATTTCCAAGGAACACCAGAGAGTCATCTTCTCTAAACTCATTCAAATCAAATCTAAAAACTTTTTTCTTTAGAAAAGCTTTCACTTTATTGTCCTTTTTGCCTTTGTTTTATACTGTGTATTTCTTGATATTTGAAAAGCTAAGTTTAAAGGCACTAAATAAAATAAAATGTATTAATATTTGTGGGGCAGCGCAGTGGCTAAATGGTTAGCACTTCTGCCTGGTAGTACTAGGGTTCAAATCCCAACCACGGCACCACCTGCCTGGAGTTTGCATGTTCTCCCTGTGCCTGTGTGTGTTCCCTCCTGGAACTCCACTTTCCTCCCACACTTTGAAGACATGCTGGTATGTTAATTGGCTCCCGTCTAAATTGGCCCTAGTATGTGTATGTATGAATGTAAGTTTGGGACTTATATGCCCCTTGAGGGTTCGGGAGTGATGTGAATGTACAATATATATATATATATATATAGCGCTGCGTAAATTGACAGTGCTATATAAGTACCTGAATTTATGCTCTCTGGAGACGAGGAGATAAGGGGGGATATGATCAACATGTATAAATACATCAGTGGTTCATATAGTGAACTCGGTGTATAGAGTTATTCACCCTGAAGTCATCACAGAGGACAAGGGGGCACTCTTTACATCTGGAGGAAAAGAAATTTAATCTCCAAACACAGAAAGGTTTCTTCACAGTAAGAGCTGTGAAAATGTGGAATAGACTCCCTCAAGAGTTGGTTCTGGCCAGCTCAGTGGATTGCTTTAAAAAAAGGCCTGGATTCTTTCCTAGATACACAGAATATAACTGGTTACTAAAAATAAAGTTGATCCAGGGAATATCTGATTGCCTCTCGGGGGATCAGGAAGGAATTTTTTCCCTTGGAGGAGCAAATTGTAACATGTTTTGCTGGGTTTTTTTGCCTTCCTCTGGATCAACTGTGGGTATAGGAGTATTAATTCTTTTTTTTTTTTCTTTTTTGTGGTTGAACTGGTTGGACTTTTGTCTTTTTTCAGCCAGACTAAATATGTAACCTGTAATAAATAAATAAATAAATAAGTTATTATTAAGATATATGAACACAGGTGTGGGAGCTAAATCATTGCGGCATGGTCAGCCAAGATGGCTGAAGATCCTGTACCCTGTAGAAGATGCCAGCAGCAAGCAAGGGAGCTTGCAAATGTTGCATCACTGTAGGCAAGGTGAGCACGTCATGTTTAAAATTTATAACAGATTTGGATTGATATAATTTTATTGATATTATTTTATTTATAATATTTATTATATAATTTTAATTTTATTTTATAGGTTTTAGCATTAGCAAGAATACTTTTTGATTAATTTTTCCAATATAGCTTTCAAATAAACAATGTAATCTCATGCATTTACCCAAGAGTAAAGTCAACAAAGTCTTCTCATCAGAATATAGTCACCAAATGGAAACTATTTGGAGTAGATTTTAAATAATGCAGCAGAGTGGTAGTACTCAAAATTTATTTGATTCTGGCTTAGTAGAGACTTTTTTTTTCCCTTTGCATTTCAATGCGTACAGAGAACCTGCCTGCATATACAATACATTCAGTGTAACATTAACCACTTCAAGTCTGGACACTTTCACCCCATTCCTGTCCAGGCCAATTTTCAGCTTTCAGTGCTATCACATTTTGAATGACAATTGCGCGGTCATGCAACACCGTAAAAACGTGAATTTTTTACCATTTTTTGAGACAGATAAAACTTTATTTTGGTGGTATTTATTCACCACTGGGATTTTTATTTTTTGCTATATAAATTAAAAAGTCCAAACATTTTGGAAAAAATGTGTTTTTCTTATAAAATTTTGCAAATAAATATTCTTTCTTCATAAATCTTGGCCAAAATGTATTCAGCTATCTCTTTAGTAAAAAAAAACCCAAATTAGTTTATAACCAAAAATTATAATTTTTAAAAATATTTTTTACATTTTAATTTTTTTTTTATATTATTATTTGTGTTTTTTTTAACATACTGTCATCCTAGCAGTACAGTGTCACCATAGTGACACTGTACTACTTGTGGGGGTGTTGAAGATTTTTTTTTTTTTACACTGACTGCTTTTACACCCTTAAAGGCTGTAAAAGCAATAATTTCTCCTTCTCGCTGGCTGCATTCTTGCAACCATTGAGAAATACTGTGAGAGCTGTGATTGGTCACAGCTTGTCACATGGTACAAGGCTGATGTGAATAGCCTTGTACCATGTGATTTCTGTGATCATTCACAGATTTAACTAGTAGTAAGCAATGATGTCAGGAAGTGACATCTTGCTTACTACTATTCATGTGATCACTGATTGGCCAATCAGTGATCACATGATCGGGACCTCACACAGAGGTCCTGTACAGTGATCGGTGTTCTCCTCTGGACACGGCGTGCACCGGATCCCGGTGCGCGTGCTCCCATGGAGTGCACACAGGCAGGGAATGCAGGAGGATGTTTATAAATGGCCACCCCACTACTGCACTGCTCCCATCTGGCCATTTATATGCATGGGCCGGATGGGAAGTGCTTAAAGGATAAGTTCACTTTTTAACAAAAAATAATAAATGTACATTTTATGCAGGTAAAAAAAGGTGCATTTACTATTTTTTTAGGAGCCTGAAAAGCATTGCATCAGTGATCAGCAGATTGCTGGTGCCATGCAGGTCTCCTGCAGACTGTCAGTGTAATGTCTGCTCGTATCTCATATGGCAGACAGTTTTACACTGACAAGAAAAATCAATGAACTACCACAGCGCCCGGGTAGTTCATTGACAACTACAAGCCGACAGCTGCAAAAGCTGTTGGAACTTGTAATTTCCCATTCACAGAACTCTGTGAATGAATGACGCAGCCGGGCAGGTGGAGCCACGTTTTTTAAAATTGTGACAGCTAGTGGGGGAGGAAGATCCCCCACTAGCTGTCTCAACAGTGGATTGGGGGGGTGTGGAGTCTGGTCCTACAGTAACATATACACCCTGAATATGGGTGGTGTAACATGTAACATGTTATGAAAAGTGAAATTATGTTTAAGATAACATTGATCTGGCTGGACAGGAACAAGTACAAAAATTTCATTTTCAAAGTATTGAGATCCCAAAATTTCTAAATGATGCTGTTCACACTTTCATGTAACCATAATGATGTTGCATAATACTAGATATTGTATTGTGATAGGTCAGGGGCTCCCCAGGTTGAAAACTGAATCAATTAAAACCTGAGCTTAGTGAAAGAACCACTGGGATAAACAAATACTGTGCCACTGTCATTTGAAATGCAAGATGCGACTCACGTGATGAAAAATTAATAATAGTTGATAATGTTTTTTACAATCCTTACAATTTATCTAATATTTTTTTTAAATTGTTAGAAAAAACAGATGCTTTCCTGTTTTGTGCTTAACAGAAATAGTGTGATACATTTGAAAAACACTGAGAATTTCTACAAAGGAATCGGAAATGAGCATCTGGAATACATAATACAAAGAAAGCTCTGCAATACATTACATGGTCTGGTCGAATTCCAGGGAGCTAAGATAGACTTCAAAGTCTGGCTGAACATCAGTTAAACTGCTGCTCTGTCCAGATATGTAAAGTGGGTGTAGATGAATAGGCTGGATTTATTACGATTTTTATCTTTTTTTTCTGATGGGAAGATGAGTTCACAGGTTCTGTATGCTTATGCAGGAACGCCTTTTAAGTTGTTGATAAATGCAGAAAAAAGGTTATACAATATGTTTCTTATAAATCATTTTAAGGATGCAAAACGTTTTTTTTTTTCAGTTGGTTGAAGGGTAGGGTTTCTTAGTCTGCCTATAGTAGAAATTGCTAAGATGTGCAGGTTTGATCCAACAAGGTTCACATAAAAAGGGAGGGAAGTATTGAGGCATCTCATGCAATATTAACAGTTATACTCTAAATAATTTACTTCATGTAACTAGCATACAAAACACTTAAAATGTAAATATTAACTAACACAAATAAATGGTTTGGGTTAATGGATTTTTTTTTAATTCTTAAATGTCTGTTTATTTCAGCTTTTTTGCTTACGTATTGCCCAAACAC